ACCGATGCTGCAGCGGCCGCTGCTGCCCCACTGGAGCACGGTCTGCGGGCAAGTTTCCTCGCAGCTCTTTGCGATTTATTGTTTCCAAGGCCGGCCTCAGCCGAGCCGGCTCTCTTCCTTCGCTTAGGCGACGCTGGAGCTGGTGACCTTGGCGTACTTGGTGATGGAGATTAGACGAGTTCCTTCTCAGATCGCTTCTTCTCCTCAGATTGGCCCTGGGGCTTCGGGGGGCCCTCTGCCTCTGCTGCGTCGGCAGGCGCCCCCGCGTTCGCGGGTGCAGCAGGCCCCCCCGCGCCTCTGGATGGAGATCTATCTGGAGTGGGGTCCCTTTTTGGTATGTAAAGTGGCATGTTCTCGATGTTCGCCTTGCCTTCACACTCCGAATAGCATCTTCCGTCGCGCACGCAGCCCAGTGCCTTGGCGCCGACCCATCCGACTTCCCCGGAATGTTACGACGCCATCGCACCCGGCGCCAAGTTCATGTCCTCCGTCGCTGGATGAGTGACGCCCAAATCCGCAGTCGTTGACTCGCTGCTGTCAGTCTCGCATGTGCACTCTGAATCATGAGCAGCGGCAGCAGGGCCAACTGCCTTAGCAAGGACAGGATTGTCACTCTCTCTGTCGCCCTTCGGAATACCAGCACCTCCGTGAGAGATAGAAGCGGGTTGCCCCGCAGATGAGGCCGCGGGCATCGCATCATGATATCCTCGATTGCATCGCCTGAGGCGGTGATATTCATCGAAGTTCTTCCACTGTTACTCAACGCGCATGGTCTCATGTCCAGTGAGAGGCTGGTAATCATCTTTGGTCAAGCGCACTTCAAGAAGACTGCGAGTTGGATCTACCCTGCGACCCAAGCCGCCCCCATTAGACCCGACCCACGGAGTCTGTTCAATGTTAGGGCCCCCTGATGGACGCCCCATCGGAAAGCCCAGTCCATGGTCCGCAAAGTGCTCGCAGCTGCAGACCTGGCCTCGGTCTTCTCCTCGATCCTGACTGATGGCCCTTTGCGCGCCCCTTCATTCGAGCGCGGGGGCCGACTAAATGCCGTAACCAATGCTGGCACGGGCGACGTTGCCGCGCTCATCCCGCGCGACATTACGGAGTGAATACCAGTGGCGGATGTCGTGCTCGGCGGAGCCCTGGCCAAGACAACGCCGCATGGCTGCTGCTGAAACATATTGGCGGGCAGGCCCATGATCTTCGTCACTGACGAGTCGACGCGGACGCTGGCCTTCGGGCTCACCTAGGGGGTCGTCGTCTTGAAGCGGGTTTCCCGGCAGGCGCCCCCTTCTGGGTGGAGTTCTTCGCGTGCTCTGATCAGGCGCGCGCGGGCGCCGTGCGCCGCTGGGGCGGGCGCGCGAGCGTCCGCGCGAGTGACTCCGCACATGACGTAGTGGATGATGGCTCTCTGCTTCCCATTCTTCATCGTCGTCATCGGCGCGACGCACTCGCCCCCCACACTGGGCGGCTCGTGGATCGGCCTTGCATTGCGAGCGCGAAGTGAGAGCCTCCGCCGCGCCCGAGTGAATATTGGGCGCGCTCGGAAAGGTCACCAGCATCGCGCGGGTTGCCCCGAGCAAGATCGCCGTCGCAAGGTTCTCCGCGCGCAGGGTCGCCAATGACCTGCGGTCGGAGCACCTGTCGGAGCCCCGCCTCCGCAGCCAGCAACGTCGCATCAGGGTCCGCAGGCGCCCCCGCCATTCCATGATCCGAAGCGGCGGGCACGCGGCAATGCTCGACGAACTCAACCTGCGCAGGTTGCCCCGCGATAGGAATGCCGAACCAGTCTGCCAGGTTGATCTCGTCGAGGCCATTGCCAGTGTAGATATCCTCGCAGAACTCATCGGCATCTCTCTCTCTCTCTCTCTCTCTCTCTCTCTTTCTTTTTTCTCTCTCTCTCTCTCTCTCTCTCTCTCTCTCTTTTCTCTATCTCTCTCTCTCTTTCTCTTTCTCTTTCTCTTTCTCTTTCTCTTTCTCTTTCTCTCTCTCTCTCTCTCTCTCTCTCTCTCTCTCTCTCTCTCTCTCTCTCTCTCTCTCTCCCTCTCTCCCTCTCTCTCTCTCTCTCTATATATATATATTTACATCCCTTTCTCTTTCTTTTCATGGTTTTATTTTCTTTTATTTTGTGTTTCTCTCTCTCTCTCTCTCTCTCTCTCTCTCTCTCTCTCTCGAGGAACTCGCCGGCACTCAGATACCTCGCGGCCATGAAGTGGACGGCGGCAGTGCGGTCGTCTTCGGGTTCGGCGAGAAGCGCCTCCCAATCGACACGCTGAATGTCCGAATCGGTTTGAGCCAAGTTCATCGACAGACCCCTGCCCCCCCCATCGCCTCGGGGGCATTCACGACGACAGCGCTGTGTACTATGGCAAATACCACATTGCATGATTTTCCCATTGGCGTCCTTCGGGTTGCCCCGGCGCCCCTTGCCCTGTCTTGAGGTGCGCCCGCGGCCTCCATCCGTCCCCAAGAATATGTCCTCGCATTCCGGCCCCGTAGGGAATGCCAAAAATGCCAAGATACTTCTGCCATGTAATCGCCGTGGTTTGCCTTTACCCTTACCGTTACCATTGCCCTTTGACCTAAACGCGCGTCGGACCGCCCGCGCGTCGTACCTCACGAACTGGTATCTGCAAAAAACGTCTCAATCGGCGCTTGTGTTTCCGAATTCCTAGGAATAACCTCTGCGCCTGTTGCTCGGTGAGATGCACAAGCATGTTGGAATAATCCAGGCCACCAGTCCCCCCATCTGATGAGGTGTCGGTGTGACTACCGGAACCAGATTCAGACTCGGCGGGTTGTCCCGCAGAGCCTACAAAAGCAGCGGCTTGGGCCGGGGCCGCCGTTGCCGACCGTCCCCGATAGCGAGCCCAGGAGTCTTGCGACCCCGTAGGCTGGCCACCTTGTTGGCTTAAAAAGGTGGTGGCCTCAGCTGATTGTGGATCGTTTTTCGGGACGCTGTTACCAGGTTGCCCTGCATTAGTGTCGGCGCGAATGGTTTCGGCGAGATGACCGTGGCTAAATATACCACCGATGTCGCCAAGGTTCGCTCAGCAATGTGAGCATAAGACATCATGCGGTCTAACAGGCAATCGAACTGCTGCTGGGTCCATGACATTTGGTGGTTTAGTGATTGTCGAAACTGCTGTGCACGCGACGTACCAACACCCACAACTCTGAACAACATAACTGTTAGGATCTGGAAGTTGGGAATCGTGCAACCTGCGGTCTCGGTTTTAAAAAAGCGCAGTCTCAAGGAGCGCGAACGTCTGGTCGATCCGCCCCCCCGCTTGGACGCGAATGTCGATGAGAAGCGTTCCCGGATAACCTAAAAGAGCAACACCAACTTAATGTTAAGTGGTGCTCCCCCTCTAGGTTTTTGAACTTCGTGCTGAAGAAGAACATGGCACAGGTGGGGTATATTCGCGACAAAATTAATGATTGCGGGAAGTACTTTCATGGGTATGATCCGTGCGAACCCGCCCAGACCACGCTGTAATGTCGCGGCCTGTTGGGAAGAGGTCATGTTGCCTGTCGCCACGTTGGTTTAGGCATGTGCCTCCCGAGCGAATTCGCGAAAAAGGTACGTTACCAGCAGAGTCCCAGTGGGGGCCGTCAGTACACGCGTCGTCTCCGCCACGCTGATGCGCCCAAAAGCGCACCCGATAGCGACCCTTAGGAGGCAAAACAAAAAACTAAGAATCCAATGGCCCCTTCGGTCGTGGTCGGATGTACAATCTCGTATCGCATGTTGCCATGCATCACTGCATTTGAGCAGGGCCCGACCGTCCCAGCATTCCTATAGTCCTACCACGACATGCTCTTAGATCCCCCAAATGGTATAACAACAAAAACAATGTTTTGAAAACATAATCCCGATGTGATAAAACAAAACAGACTCCGCCAGAAATGTTCTAAGAACATTTCGAGGGGACCAAAAAAGGTTCCTAGAACATTGTTTGGTAGGGTTATCGGTGAACCAGGACGCTTCGCCACTGCTTCACGCAATTGTCTTTGCGGTTGTGCGTAGATATGTACATTCCTCCGCGGAAACCCACTGCACCCGGATGATCCACCATGTCAGTAGTCCACCAGATAGTGCCGTGGATGGTGGGGGATCGATCTAGAACTGACCACCATAGGCCAGCCCCGTTACCAAGTTTGACAGGGGTTGGGAGGCCCAACCATACGCTTCGCCTGAAACGAAGCCCATCTCCAACCCTGTTGTACCGTTGTAACGATAGTCCCGGGAAGGCGGGCCATGTCAAGCGAAGATGTTTTCGGTCTCAGTGGCAAGTACTGTACCTCGCGATGAGGCGCAGTCATATGTTGGCGGCCGGCAGCTTGAGCACAAACGGCAGCGGGCAAGCGCTGGCTATCTCTCGCATTTGCCCCAATCTCCTTTAGAATACGCTGTATCGACGCCAGTGCGTTCCAACATCGAAATTGCAAAGGCACGCAGGGCTCCCGTGATTGGTTACCGAAACAACGCGTGACTAGCGGTCCAGAGGCACCGCTCTGCACGCTGGCTTTGCATAGCCAACCGTTCTGTCGAACCTACAACATAGTATCATCCCTCAAGAACACGAGACCCTCAGCCGGCCAAAACGCACAGAACATCCAAGGCACCCTCCCCCAGGATGCACAAGAACGTCAAACACGCACGAAACACACCGGGGCACCCTCCCCGAATCGACCTCGACCTTATGATTAGGAAAATAAGCCCCAACCCTTTGGGAGGGAACCTAAGTGAAGAGGGTTAAAAACATCAGGGTGTGCAGATGTGTCGAGTCAAAACGCCCAGACTTACCCCAGGACGTCAATTGATGTTCGGTGGGAACCCCACGCTTCCCACAACGAAACCAGCGAAAGCCAAGAAAAACAGGGCACCCTGGAGGCAAGCAGGGTGCTTCTTGGCATGGGCCTCCACTGTATGCCCCAGCCCGACTGTGTGCAGTCTTCTCCGAGGCGCGTCCGCCCTCGCGCACAGGAGGGGGCACTGCGTGCCGCGGTCGTTGCCCTGCCCCATGCCCTGGGTCGGGTCGTGGGCCTCGCGCGGCGCGCAGGGAAGATGGAGGCACAAGCCACGGCACAAGCTCAAACTCTCGGTGGTCCGCGCCCGTCCTTTTGGTCTGCGCGGAACCTAAGACGAAGCCAGGACGAGGATAACGTCGGGCGAACATGTACCGAGAATCTCTGATTTCCCGAGGCTCTGGAAGATGCCTCGGGCGCCGCGGCCTGTACAGAGCGTTCCCGAACGCTCTAGGACGGTTATACTCATCCCAGCCCCGTCCAAGAACCCCCCTCCATGGCGTGCGGAGCGCGGCAGGGGCGGCGCTGGAGGCGACGCCAGGGGGGTCAAGCGCAGATCTCAGAAATCCGCGCGGGCCGTCGAAAGTGTTTGTTTATGCCGATATGTCCTTCTTGGAAAAAGGCACAGGAGGAAGGAGGAATGGGGACTAGAGCAGGAGGCGTAGGAGGAGGGGAAGGGGGAGGATGCGGGCGACGGCAAGGTAATGACAAGAAGAAGGGATGACGAGGGGATTGAAGAGGGAGGAGGCGAAGACAAGGAGGACTACAACGAAAATGTTGACGGTCCTGGGGCAGGTGGGAGGGCCTCTGCACACGTGATCCTCAAGAGCTGCTTGGGTAGCTTGCGCGAGTGTGCGCCTGGTACCTGGTGCGGGATGGTGCTGACCGCGACGTACCGTACTCGATGGGCACCCCTCTCCAGCGCCGCGCAGCGAAGGACTGCCAAGTCGCACCTGCCCAAAGCGCGTTTCGGCCTGATTCGACAATGGACGGGGGCAACATATCCTAGAACCTCGGAGGTTCATTCGTCGAGGGTCGCAGCCGTGATTCTGTCGCAATTCTGCCCCCAGCGTCGCGATGTTGTCGCAGATTGAACCCTCGGAGGCCCGGACGTCTCGACGCCTTCGGGGCGAAGTGTTCCCAATCATCCTGTGGTGTTGGGTTCTCGCTTCGAAGAAACAACGCCCCTCGTCAACCCCGCTCCTCGTCCTCTTCCTCCCATTCTTGCCTTCTCCTGCTCCAGTTGCTGTTCTCCGCATGTTCATTTCGGGGCATACCTCCCTTCGGCGAAATCAGCATGCGCCCCCCTGCCCATTTCGGCAGACCACTCCCACGTTTCGTGGCCTCATACGGGAACCCCACCAGCGGCTCCAGTGCCAAAGTCCAAGTGCGTCCCCCCGTCTCTTTCGTCACAACCCTCACCCGCGTCGTGGCCCCACATGAACTTTCCCCCTGCGTCGTCACACCTGGCCCGCGGCACTCACAATTCCACATGGTTGGGTCATTCGCCCGGGTACTTTTGTTACGGTCCTGGGTCCCAAGTAAAGGCCGCCAGAGGCTGAACACTGCCAACACATTCCGTCCTGACTCAGGGCGCGAGGGCGCCTGGGACCCTGGTAGATCGACCCCCGGACCTGTCCAAGGATGCGTTCCGACGAACGTCTGTCAGGGGGATCTGGCCCATGGCGACGAGAAGGCCTCCATAACAACAAAAAACAAAAACAATACTCAAAATCCCCGAAGGTCCTCCATGCCCCAAGTTCGATCCTCATCCTTCGGCGGTTCAAAGATGGGGCTCTGATGGATGGGGCCCCGCGAGTGAGAGGGCTCAAACAACGCAAACTCAACCTAAGATAGCTCGGGCCCCAATGTTTGAACGGCCGGATCCTGCCCTTCAGGGGTCCATGGGAGGAGACCTGTCTGCGGAGGGCGTGGACAGCCAACGACGAGAAGGCCACCACGGAGCCGCAAGGGAGAGCGGAGAAAGGCCAAGAACTCTCAAAGTTTTCGGCGGTCGCCTTCCCGCGACAGCCATCATAGGCGGAATGATCGCGTCTGCAGGCCTGCCTGCGGCACTGTCGCCAGTGGCCGCGGCGCATGGACTGGGCGGGGCGTGTGAAGAGGAAGCGATGCAGGATTTGAGATGCTGGACAACAGGTAAGAAGGGTTTGGGCGATGCGGAAGGAGGCAAACCTCCTCCGCTGGCCCTTTTTCCAGAGCTGTTTTTTCGCCTTGGTTTTTGTTGACGGTCCTGGGGCCGGGAAATTGCCTCCCGCGGCCGAAGACGTTGAAACATTGCCCGTCGCAATTTTGTTTTTCGTCGCTGGGAGGTCTGGGAAGCACGGTGGCAAGGCGCGCGCAGACCTATACGAGGCGGCCGAGCGCAACTGTCATCGCAAACTGTGACGACTATGGCGGGCTCGCGCCGCCCTGACGCGGCGGCGACCCCAGCGCGGGCGTTCCTTCCTCGTCGTCCTCGTCCTATTCCTCCTCCGTCTCCTCCTCCTCCTCCTCCTCCTCCTCTTCCTCCTCCTCCTCCTCCTCCTCCTCCTCCTCCTCTTCCCCCTCTTCCTCACCCTAATTATCCTCTTCCTCCTCCTCCTCCTCCTCCTCCTCAACCGCCGATATCGAACGATATCGGTTGAATGCCCCTAGCAGGTTCGGGCACCGGGGCCCGCGGAAAAAATGCCACGGCGCGATATCGACGTCGACGACAGGGTGGGGACGTCCAGGATCGGGTCGGACGAAAAGGGTGGCGTTGGGGAGGCGGGGGGGGGGGGGGGGCGAAATCTGCTGCATTCAGCTGGTTTCGACCCCGCCGCCGGAAACATTCCTCGATGCATGGTCATCGGTGTGTGAGATGATTCCCCCTCCCCAAACCCCTTCCCCCGGGGCCTGGTCTGGTCGGTTTGGACGGGGGGGCCGTTGCCGGCCCCGGCTAACGCACCGCGGGCCTCACGATGGGCCACGAGGGCCCTAAGAGGCCCATAAGATGGCTCAGGAGGGTCCCGAGTCGCCGATGGATCGTTCCAGGACGCCCGCCCAATATGGCCCTCTGACGGCCCAAAATGCCCCCGAAACGCCCCGAGGGGCGCTTCAAGACGGCCCCGAGAAGAGAAACCGCTCGGGGCAAGTCCGCGCAAAACAGCGGCTTCGGACCTGACACGGCGCTGGGCCGACCGGCGGCCAGCTGAGGGGAGGGGAAGCCCTTGCCCCAGCGCCGCTGGCCCCCAGTGCTGAGCACACTGACGACCAGCCCCCCCCCCCCCCGCGGCCACCGCGGAGACCTCGACCCGCCCCGATCAACGACGAGCACCCCCCCCCCCCACGGGCAGCCCCGCAAGGGCCGAGGGATGGCGGGCGGGCGCGAACGCAGCGGCCACCCCGCTGGGTCGCCGCGCTCTCCTGCGCCAACATCGCAATGATTTGTTCCTGCGCGCGGCGCCGCTCGCGCGAGGCGCCGCGTCGGCAGGGCGAACTGCGCGCGCGCCGTCGATTTGCGCCTGCGCACAGCGCCGCTCGCGCGCGGCGCCGCGGCGGCAGGGCGACCCGCGCGCGCCGCCCCCCGCGGCGGCCCTCGGAGCAACGCGCGCGCGCGCGGGAGAGCAAATGCGTTCGGCGACACACTGCCTAAAGCGCAAACGCCGCGATCTGCGCCCCCCCCGCCCCCCCCCCCCCCTCGGCGCGATCCCCCCCGCGGCGCAAACGTTCCGCGCGCCCGCCCGGAGAAATCGCCCGGGGCAGGTCCGCGCCAACATTGGCTTCGGACCTGACGCGGCGCTGGGCCGAGCGGCGGCCAGCCCGGGGGAGGGGGCCCCTTGGCCCAGCGCCGCTGGCCCCCTGCGCTGAGCGCTCTGACGACCAGCCCCAATGCTCACTCGGCACTGGGCGCCTCCAGCCCCAGGCACGATTTCAAGCAAGTGCGGCCGCCGCGTAGGCGCTGGCCTGCCCACGCAGGGCCCCCGCGCGGTGCCCCTGACTCGCCAGGGCGCTGTCTGGCCCGCCCTGGTCGCGCCGCAGACGCGCCCCTTGCGCCCAAGGGCCCAGTGCTGCGTGCCGGGGGCCTCCTCTGATGCGGAATGATGAATGGCGCACTCAGCGGCCAGCAACAACGCTCTTTTTTCCGCCACGTACCCGGGCACGCGGGCCCCCCGCGCGCTCGGCGCTGCCATCGCATCGACGTCGTTGGAGAACCCGAAAGCCGCCGTCGCGCGCGGCACGCCGCCCTTTGATGCCTGGCACGGCACACTGGCCGGAGGCCGCGGGAACGGCGGCCCGCGCGCTCGGGCCCGGTCGGCCCTGCCCCGGCGGAAACAATGAGTTCCCCGCTCGAACGCACGAAGGAGATCCAGTCGCGCCGCCGTCATTGTGACGCGCGACAGCGCCTCCGTGCATGCGAGCGCCGAGAACGCGCGCACTCCCAAGCGCGGGCGCCGGCGCATCGCGCACGCGCCGCAAAGCCTGCGCCCCTGCAACGCGCGTGCGCAATTTCGCCACGCCCGCGCGCGCCCGCGCGACTTCCCCACCTGGCTAATTAGCCGATCCCGCGCGCATGGGCGCACGGCTCGCCGGGCCAGGGTTCGCGCGCCCTTTTCGCTGCCGGAATTGGATGCACACCTGAGGTCCCTTTGTCTGCGCACGCGGCCACCTCCGAGTGATTCGGCGACTTCAACTCGACCACCTCCGAGCCGAACCGTAGACAGACTTGCCAACATACAATGAAAGAGTTCGCCACGTCGGACCTCTCCGCCTTGGCGCTGGCGCGCGCCACCCCCCGCGACCCGCGCGCGCCTCCTCGTGGCCATGTCGCCGCGGCACGCGCCTTCCCAGCGGCGGCTCTTGACTTGAATCGCCCGCCCGCCGGGTCTTCCGCCAGCGACGCCCCCCCCCACTGGCGGGGCGGCCCCCGACCCGCGCGCGCGCGCCTTCCTCGCGCCCTGAACGAGCGCGCGCGCGAGCTCCAGGGCCCCCGCGTCGGCCCGCAGAAGGCTCTGGACTGACCGAATGGTCCTGAAATCATAAGCCAGCGCCCCGGCGCGATGGCAAACACCATCATGACGTCGCGCGCCACTGGGGTCGGAGGCCGCGGCTGGACTCCCGCCGCCGCGCACGCCTGCCCGTAGAGCTCCACCGCTGCCGCGTGCTCCTTAGCGGATTTCTTCCGCGCGCAAAATTATCAGATCACCGCAAACATCTGAAACTTGCGCAACCTGGCTG